GGTTTATCATGTAACTTACTTACCCTTCACTAGTTAAAGTATAAAGGTTTATCATGTAACTTACTTAAACCTTCACTAGTTAAAGTATAAAGGTTAATCATGTAACTTACTTACCCATGACTAGTTAAAGTATAAAGGTTTATCATGTAACACACTTACCCATGACTAGTTAAAGTATAAAGGTTTATCATGTAACTTACTTACCCATCACTAGTTAAAGTATAAAGGTTTATCATGTAACTTACTTACCCTTGACTAGTTAAAGTATAAAGGTTTATCATGTAACTTACTTACCCTTCACTAGTTAAAGTATAAAGGTTTATCATGTAACTTACTTACCCTTGACTAGTTAAGTCCACCACAACCAGGTCATTATTTAAAAGCACCACTATAGCATAAGGTTCCTGAAAGTCTGGAAGGGAAAGAACATCAACAACACTTCAACCAAATAGAACATGTAATTATCACACAGATTATCTTTCATTAACATATAACTCAGGCTTATATCAAAAAGACAACTAACATGTATTAGTAACAATCATGTTTTTGTATAGTCACATTATATACACACACATCTTTACTTTCAAATTACACTTTCCACAACATGAAAATAATCAAAGATCTGAAAAATACTAATAATCCACAGTTTCACATTTGAATGTCTTCCAATCAAGTCACATTCATAATACATATTGATATTTCCTTTTTAAATTAACAAACTGTCATATCAAGCACTTTAATTACACAAAGGAAATACAGAAATTAGCAAAAAGTTAACTTAACATCTACACCTAATCTTACCATCTAAAAACTGTTTGTGTGTGATACTTACCACTATCGCATACTGTCACAACACTGTTAGTGTGAAACTTAACACTATCGCATACTGTCACAACACTGTTAGTGTGAAACTTAACACTATCGCATACTGTCACAACACTGTTAGTGTGAAACTTAACACTATCGCATACTGTCAAAACACTGTTAGTGTGATATTTACCACTATCTCATACTCTTACTGTCACAACACTGTCAGTGTGAAACTTACCACTATCGCATACTCTTACTGTCACAACACTGTCAGTGTGAAACTTACCACTATCGCATACTCTTACTGTCACAACACTGTTAGTGTGAAACTTAACACTATCGCATACTCTTACTGTCACAACACTGTTAGTGTGAAACTTAACACTATCGCATACTCTTACTGTCACAACACTGTTAGTGTGAAACTTAACACTATCGCATACTCTCAACATACTAAAACTGTTAGTGTGAAACTTACCACTACCACATACTCTCAACATACTAAAACTGTTAGTGTGAAACTTAACACTACCACATACTCTCAACATATCAAAACTGTTAGTGTGATACTTAACACTACCACATACTCTCAACATATCAAAACTGTTAGTGTGAAACTTAACACTACCACATACTCTCAACATATTAAAACTGTTAACACACTAACAGTTTTAATATGTTGAGTATGTGGTAGTGTTAAGTATCACACAAACTTAACACTACCACATACTCTCAACATACTAAAACTGTTAGTGTGAAACTTACCACTACCACATACTCTCAACATATTAAAACTGTTAGTGTGGGAAACTTACCACTCTGCCAGGGTGTCTCACAAAGTGTAACAAAATCTACAATATTGTGCTCCATCTCCAGAACTGTTGTTGTTTTTCCGTGAATGACTGTTAGGCTAAGTGTCTTCCCAGTTTTCTCGTGAGGTAAACCCCCAGAAAAGATAACAAACGAGTCTCTGCAAATGTAAAAAAAACAACCTTAAAACCATAAAATACAAAATCTCACAAACAAGGTTAAAATAAGCAATACAGTCTGAGTCAAGAATCAAATGATCAATATCCAAATATATAATAGTTCCAAAACTAAAATCAGTATCCAAATAAATAATAGTTCCAAAACTAAAATCAATATCCAAATAAATAATAGTTCCAAAACTAAAATCAATATCCAAATAAATAATAGTTTCAAAACTAAAATCAATATCCAAATAAATAATAGTTTCAAAACTAAAATCAATATCCAAATAAATAATAGTTTCAAAACTAAAATCAATATCCAAATAAATAAGTTTCAAAACTAAAATCAATATCCAAATAAATAATAGTTTCAAAACTAAAATCAGTATCCAAATAATAGTTTCAAAACTAAAATAATATGAAATCACAAAATTATAAAATGCAAGTAATTTAGTCTCACAATCAAAGTCCAAGTTTGAATTTCAAACAAGTAATACTAAACCAGATAACCAATATCCAATTTAAAAGCCTAAGAGTCACAATTCTAAATCTACTTAGGTAATACAGAGCTTGAATCATGGTCTGAATTCATTTAAACAGTAGGAAGGCCAGCAATGATAATCTGAGTTTAGGTAAGTAGAAAGCACATTAATAATAATGGGTTAAGTTCAAATAAATCACCTGGTGAGGGAATTGGTTCCATTATTTAATACAGTAGAATCACAGAGACAACTGTAAAGGTCCACTTTTCGAAAGTGCTCAGGTTATAGGGTTTTTATTAATTTGTTGTTCTAATAATCATAGCAATACATATTTGATTTCACAATATTTCAAGTTGGATTGAAAACGTTAATTCAGATCAGCTCTGAAGTTACTATGATGTGTTCACTTATATTAAACTTTTCAAATATTTGTCACGTACTCGAGTGAAATGCGTTTCGACTTTATGCATAATTCCTGGACTTGTTCATGCTCACTGGCTTCAGAATCAAATATATTTGAGTATTACTTGAGCAGACAAGTCAGTATATTACTGTTTGATTCCTAACTTATTCTTGATTGGCAAAAGTTTTACGATTTTATTGTAAGCAGTTTTTTTTATTTCTCTCCCAACATAATAATTATTATTGGTACAAAACACATTTGTTGAACAATGTTGAACACTATTGACGGTAAGAATTGTTAGATTTTAAAAAAACCCCTTATTAATAATCTTTTATACTTTACAACAACAAAAATTGATATTGTCCAGTAAAATAGTGTTACTACACATACATTGTTTATGAAATATGGTATTTGTTCATCTTCTTTTGCATAGAGTTCTTTGAATCATGCTTCTGCATGTGGTTGTTGGATGGTGTTTGAAAATCCAAGTAATTATGTGCTATTATTTGATAGGATTTTTATATTTGGTAAACATACCTCTCTGAAATTCATAGCCAGAAGTTTAGTCCGAATTGGATATCGTGAATGGTAAATAACAGATCTGTCACTAAAGTGTGTAAAGTAAACATTTTCGATTTTAGAAAAAAAACGTGTAGGTTCAAGAAGTCTTGATAGACTTAGCTTACTTTTAGGCCAACAGGAATGAAACATAAAAAATCTGTGTCTATGGTTCGTGAATTTCTAGATAAAACATTTTTTGTTCTCAATTTTTGAACTTAAGCTATGAAAGTTTTAAAGGACAGGTTAGGCTTAGTGTTTGTTAAAACTTTTTCTTTTTACAACAGTATAATTTCTAAGCTAAACACATGAAAATAGTAACGTCATATACTTATGTTTAGTTTTTACATCCGAAAAAACTGCACCCGATAAGGTAAGGTTGGAAAATAAATTGTCACAAAAAAATAGTGAACTTAATATCAGACAGGTCATAAGAACAAACTGTGTATTTCCTGCATATGCTCAGCTACAAACTGCAAGTCAGACTCACCCTCCCCGGACTGTCTTCCACTCTACCTTATAAATTGTTTTACAAGGTCCAGCTTTACTCTCTTTGCTTGTTGCTTGTGCTAAAAAAAAAACAATTTGAAGTCAAGATCTTATTTCATTACACACAACAAAATCTAATTTCAGACTCTTATCAATTTCAACTGTTCACACTTAACGTTAATAGTAATCCACGAGTATCACATACCATGAGGGTGCATGACTGTTGTGGGTTTTAACGGTGTCCTGAGGTTCCAAGTGCTAATGCTGCCATCTGTGTGGCTACACATAAACTGTTTCCCATCATGATGCCATGAAACAGACTTGAGAGGCTTAAATAAAAAAGTGGATACATCTAAACCTTTACACAATTTGACATGTATACTTTTTGTTCTCCTTATTCAAAATTTTCCCTCCCCCCCATTTTCTCTGGCTATATATAAAAAAAAAAAAAAAGATTCACACACTTTAGTATCATTTATCTTTCAAAAATTGTATCAAATAATCAAAGATTCTTAAAATATACAACATTTCCATGGGAGCTTTCCTCATTATAGCTTCATCAGACATACACATTAAAAAGATCAAAATAAGTTTGACATTAATCGTTAAACAATGACCTGTATTAACTGCTCTTTTAGCTAGCCGAAAGATTACATTTTTATTTCACAGAACCAAGTTTCTGAATATCTAGAACTTTAAAATATCTCAAATTAACCCCCTTGAAATATAGATTTTTTGTCCTACCTCAGTGTTCTGTACTCTCATCTCTGCAGCTCTGTTCCTCAGGTCCCACAGCACCACAGCACCAGATTCAAATCCTACTAGAAGCTGAAAGAATATGTTGAATACTATTAAAAAGTTCCTCTAAAGTACCAGGCTATTAGAAGATCCTTCTCAATATGCAAGTTGTCGATAGATTAACACCTTTTAATAGATTTGCAAGTAAGAAGATTCATATAATAAACTGCCTTACAACATTTTGGAGAAGTCTTCAGTATAAAAAACATAATAAACCATTATTAAAAAAAAAAAAACAGAACGTAAGATTACCTTACAAACTTGCAACAAAATATAACATGAAACAAAAAATGTAATGAATTTCTCATTTCAGCTGTAGTGACAAATTAGTGCAAACAATACAATAGTTGAATGGAATTTTTTAAGACCTTCCCACAATTATGTTTGAATAAATAAAACAGACTATAATTCTAAGTATACATTAAAAGACCTAAAAATTTGATTTAATAGGACAACATGTTTCATCCATTTTTTGGGGAGCATTTCATATATTTATTCATTAGTTTTCTTAAAATGTATTGAATTAATTCTCCATTATGTCTGATGTACCATCTGGTGTGTCAACATCGTGAAGATGTAGTGTCTGCTGTTCCATCTGGTGTGTCAACATCG